ATGACACTTTCTCTATAATTCAAATCATCACAGACACTCCTTATCATTAAACCACCCTTTATAATAAAAAAAAGAGAAAATTATGTGTAGATCTTTTGAGATTTATCACTTACTCACTCAAATTATTTGATATTTAAAATATTACACACAGATCCCTTTAAGTTTTTAGGCGTGTAATACTTAGACCACTATCGTTAGTATATTTTTTAGTAAATTATATCTCTGCTCCTTAAAGTTTGTAGACATAATACTTAGATTCCTCAAGTCAAAAATGTTATACTTAGACCAAAAATACTACAATCAAATATAGAATATTAAATATTTTAAATTTTATAACCAAAATTTATGTTCTGTTATATCATTTATTGAAATCAAATCAAAAATTAAAATTTATTTTTTCTTAAAAAATCGTAATTAGTATACAATTATATTATCTATTGGAATAAAACTAAAAAAAATTAAATAAGGGGTCTAAATTATTTATAATAGAACATGAATTTTACAACCAAAATTCATGTTCTATTATGTCATTTATTGAAATAAAATTAAAATTTAAAATTTATTTTTTTTGTAAAAAAATCATAATTAGTATACAATTATACTATCTATTGCAATAAAACTAAAAAATCAAACAAAGGTTAAACTGTAATGGACACAATATCTTCTATCTTTAATTGATATAATTTGGTAGTTTAATTCTACACTAATTATGATTTTTTAAGAAAAAAATTAGATTTTTATTTTTAATTTTATTTTAATAAATGTCATAATAAAACATAAATTTTGGTTGTAAAATTTAAAATATTTTATATTCTATTTTTGATTGAAGTATTTTTTATCTAAGTATAATATTTTAAATTTTGGGGGCCTTGGTATAATTTATTAAATGATATACTAACAACAGAAGTCTAAGTGTTGTGCGCGTACAAATTTTAGGGGTCTATATGTAATATTTCAAATATCAAGGGGTCTAAGTGATTAAATAATAAATTTCAAGAGCTCCAGACGTAATTCTCTCTAAAAAAATATCTGAAATGCCAAAATTACCCCTACATAAACTCCAAATAATATTTCTATATAAAATTTGATTCGAGCTGATTAAAATTTATTTTTTTCGTATTAAAATTCGTGACTTAAATTTTAATACGCAAAAAAATAAAATTTAATCACCTCGAATCGGATTTTAATTGACCTTAATTTTAATACATAAATTTTTTTGAAAATAGAGAAGGTCCCATTAAAGATATACTTATTTAAAGGGGTGTAGATAAAGTTTTTTCTAAAATATGTCATAGATAATTTAATAAAATTGCATTCTACTAATGTTTTGGATAATAAAAGGGACTCATTGAAGATATATTTCTTTAGATGGGGTGTGGATACTAATTACCCAAAATGTTTTGATACTTGAAGCAGATATGGCAAAGCAACACACCACCACATACTCAGATTAGAATGCAGCCCCACTTTTTTAAATGAAAAGGACTAACAAGTTATAATGTATATATCAAGTTTTTTTTTAAATCTATTAATGCATACCTCTAAAAGGTTTTTATAACTGAAATAATCCTAGAAGTAATTCATAATCGATCCTAACTTTATCATGTCGAATAATATCCTAAATAGATCCTACATTAAACTAGCTTTTTATATTGAAAATTGGTATTTGTATTTCTCCCTCTTTTCTCCAATCTCTATTTATATTTAATTTCTCTTCTTTAATTTAGCCTTATCAGGTTTGAATAGTAAATGAATGAATTTTCTAGATTCACTTGACTAACATGATTCAAATTTATAAATATAAACAGGGCAGAGCTCCCTTTGAGCCATATCCCCTTAGTTCAACGGTTAGTAGTGTTTAAATCAACTTTTGCACATTTTGACTAACTATCTTTTTGATTTGGTTAAAAATATATCATCGATGCCAAAATTAAGATATTCATTAGTAATAAATCCCTATGACCTGGCCTGAAGGCAACCCACTCTACACTTTTTTTAGATTTTAAAAATTATGACGCCTCCCTCTCAAAATTTCAAAAGCTATATTTTCATCGATTGTATTAGAAGGCTTAATGACCGAACTATAGGATGTAAGGATAATGTTTAAATTTTATAATCCAAACTAAGTTTTATTGGCATAGGATTAAAGATCGAATCCAGGATTTGAGTCAAATTGACCCTTTTAGTCGCGATTTGGCACTTAGTACTGTGCACAATCACACTTGGGCCATTATTCTATGGACTACGCTCTTGAGTTAGTAAATCTCCTATGTCTGACCCAATTGTCATGTACCAGATCCATTAACGTTGGCTGTTAGATCCCTTTACTAGATTGTCTAATTAATTTCAAGTAGTCAATGCATCTTTGTCACTAATCCTGAATATATCATGTTGAAGTTGATTTTGGATAAATTTCATATAAGTATAAATTTAACAATAACAATGACTTGTTGAATAACATTCCTAATTTGGTCATTATTGGCCCCTCTATAAAATCTTGACTCTGTTCCAAAATATACATGATAATAAAAGACAAAGTTTAAAAGGGTTTTTTGCATTTTACACACCAAAAAAATCTCTTGATTCTCACTTTATACACTAAAAGATTTTTTTTTTTCATATTACACCTTGAATGTCATAAATTGATTCTAATGTGGCATTCAGACTAACATCTGTTTCAGATTCTGTTAAAAATTAATGCACTTGCCACCCGTATGTGATGTTCTTGAACAAAAATGTAAACTCACAATTTATATCCATGGGTGACATGTACATTATTTTTTAATGGAATTTGAAACGGACGTTAGTCCGTGGGCCACATTGGAACCAATTTATGACATTCCTGGTGTAATGCGAAAAAAATATTTTTTTGGGATACAAAGTGAGAATTGAGACATCTTTCGGAAAGAAAAACGCAAAAAATCCCATTTTAATATGACACAAACTCTAATTTTCACTAAAATAAATCGCATTAATATTTCTTTCTGTGTCTCTCGTGGCAGGCCCATGCCGCTGTGTTACCTTCTTTTGAAAGGTCCAATGGGGGATGGATTCGTGATACAGTGGAATTCAGTGTAAGTTGGTTGATTTCTACCTAGCTAGATGTTGAATTCCAAGACTACATTACTATCTTCACCTACATTAACAATCGGATTTTTTTGTCACATCTGTAATGGTCATTTCAACAGCCATACATAACATGTTCATAGCAGACGGATCTAGGTTGTAATAATAGGTCGAGGACAACCTAATATACAATTGATTTATCTACGTAAGGGGCTACTTGATTTTGAGTTATATATTATAAAATGTATTAGAGATAGGTGTTGCCAGGGCGGATTTGCAATATGGGCAGCTATCCACACTGCAATTTTATAAACTTTTGGGGCCTAGCTAGAATTTTGAAAAGTTTCAGAAGTGTTTAAAGATTGCCCCATTGAAAATTTATAAAACATATAGGGTTATTTCTACAATTTAGAAAATAAATGGAGTCCTTAACAAATGCATGTAGACAAGATGTTGTTGTTTTATACCCAAACCATTGTTGCCTATTAAATGTTTGTTAAAATGCCACAAACAAAGCCATGACAAAATGAGCAAGTAACTATGACTATCCGCGAGTCCTAAAGAAATTCTGCATTGCCCAAGGTCAAAGGCTTGTGATTTTCAACTATTTTATTTAATTCAAACACTTGAAAATTCAAACAAAATGGTTGGTTGATCAATATACATTGACCCTACAAGTTGTTTGTTAAAAATTTTGGGATAAAACATTGAATATGAGTTGAATTAGAGCCGCCACTATGAAACAATCTTGGCTCCGCCCCCCGGGTGTTGCACGGTTGGGGAGTCAAGTCTCTCAATCAATTGATCCAATTTCCTGATTGTTTGTCTAAATGTCTCAATTTAGCTCCAATCGATTTGATTATTGTTTCAATTCAATTTGTTACATGTACGGAAGTTCGTATGACATGTGGGAGGATGTGTAGAACAATTAATTATGCGATTATCGTTGTTTTGAAACTTATTTATGAAATGTGATAGTTTAAAACTTATTTACTAAATTATAAATTTTTTTCAACCATCTTAGTCAGTTATCATTTTAATCATCAATTAGTTCTATTCCTACCACATCATACTAGTTTTTTAATTTATAATTTCATCTTTTCATATTTCTGGTGGAATGATTTTTGTAAAATAGTAATCATGTATTTTGATGAAATTTTTTTTCTTACTCAAACAAAAATACTCAAAAAATGTTATCAAAGTATACATAAGTTAAATCCTTATTGGATTTTATACAGGTTAGTGGAAATATTGTCATCATTAGACTAAGAGCTTCAAGGGGTGAGAAGAAACCTAAAGGTTGGTACTGAATCCATTATTCAATTTGCTTATTCTTATTGCTATTTTAGCTTAGGGAGAGTTCTACGGCATTGAAAAATTATTCTTTTGTGTCGCATCCAAAATTATTATTTATTGGGATCAACGTACGACTCAAATGCATCTTAGTACATGGATGGTATACTTGTGTGTGCAAAAGTCAATAATGCAACACTCTGCTAAAATTTATACCAAATTTCCTATATCAGGTCAATGTGCATTGTTAGATTAACGGGTCCCAATAACTTCAATAATTCAGATGCTACCACATTATTTGGTGTACAAATTTAGTGCACACAACATTTTCTTAAAAGCATATTTTAAATGGGCTAGAAAAATTACTTAAAAAATATTATCAAACAACACTTTTTTTTAATTCAGAGGTTAGCTTACCTTTCTCGAGTGGGGAAACAAAAAGCCATGAAATTTTAGGGTGACAAAATTTTATCCCGGGTCATTAACTTTTTTATTGTAGGGCGATAAAATTTGTCATGATTTTGTGTTGCAGTTCTATTAAAATTTTAGATTATAAACAAACAAATGAAAGCAGTTTATAAATAATCCTATTATCTATTTTTATGTAACCATTTATTTTTCTATTCGTTCTTTTTCTCTAGAAGAAGATGAAGAGATTCCTGAAGAACTAGCACTTTGCAAATTTTGCTTCAACATATTTGCCGAAGAAAATGTTCTCAAGACAAAATGTAATTGCAAAACTGGTCTTGTCCATGACAAATGCGCATCTCACCACTTCAATGAGATAGGAAATAACATGTGTGAAGTTTGTGACCAAGAGGTTGAAACAATACCCGTAACTTTGCTTCGACACCCCTTTTCTACGAAGAAAAAAAGGCAAAAAATCAACAAACATAGCTTCGTATTTCGAATGAAAAGGTAATGTATTAATCTTTATCAATGAAAAATATAAAGAGGGGCTAAAAAGGATGGTGGTGATGATCCAGTTTAGTTCCCGCTGCTCTCTAGTGTTGCGAGGAAAAACAGTACATACCTCACTTTAGAATAGTTCAAATGATATAATTGCACTTAAAACTTAATCTGTTATTAATCACACACTTAAAGTCGAGCGAAAGTGTAATGCAATTTACAAGTTACGATTACTAGATATAGTTAAAGGGTAAAAAAGGTTACTCATTTTGGCCCCTATAATTGAGGATGTCAAGGTAGACTAGATATAAAATTAATTTTTGAAAAATATTTGCACAAAACAATGTCTGGGACTCACAACCATGTGATTGTTACCCCCAACACTTGGTACTCCAAGTGGCAATGACCCATTCAATCACAAGCATAATTGTTTTAATTTGATTTGGAGTTGTAGTCCTCGTACACTATATCACCCTTTTAATTAAAAGCAATGTTATGTACATCAAAGGTTTTCAACAAAATGTGGCAAAAATTATCTGTAGTTGTCAGATCAGTGAGTCTCATCATTGATCAAAAGGCTGCAAATGATTTGGTGCACTAAAGACATAAGAAGATTTGATCTCTTTATGTGGTTGGTTTTTGAAATTTTTGTTGCATTAAGTTTTGTTTAATCTCAATTAAATTTCCTAAAAGATTGTGTGATGCAATCATTACTGGTCAATAAATTTAATTCTCATCCGTTGATGAAGACAAAATTTTTTCCAACAATATCGCATAATTTTTCTATCCTTATTTTGCACAACGTAAATAGGTAATATATATAATACTGAGGTAATGTGAAACTGATAACCCCAGTTGGAGATGGTATAGGGAACACCTAATAGTTGGGGCATGGACACTGCAAGAAAATTCATTTTTTAAGATGATTTTTTTCGTCAAAAAAAATAAAAATAAAAATAAAGGTTCGCATTTTTTTTCATCGATTTTATTTCGTTGTAACAGCCTCGTCGAGGAAAATAGTTTACGACGAAATTGAATTTGTTGCAAAAACATACTTTCTGCGATACAAGATAAATATCGCAATGTCACTGACAAAATAATAATATTAAATTATTTAATTGATTTTCTAGGTCGTATATAAAATCGTTGCAAATAAGATTAGATTAATCAAAATATACTGGTGATGCAACTATAATGTCCCAAATGAGTAGTTTTCGTGACGGAAATTAAAATCGTCATGAAAAGTAATTATGATTTGATGAAATCGAGAGTCGGTGTTGACTCTCAACATTCTTAATATCAACCTTGCTTACACAAAGAATAATCAGTATATTTCGTAGGCCATTGAAAAAAAAAAGGAGCCCATACTCAAAACCCCCTTTCTGACCAATTTAATTGAATTAATGTTAGACATATAGAATTTTTAAGAAACATTACGCCTCAAAAATTGATCAACGAACCTGTGGCGATCTTAGTGTCATGTTTGAGTGTTCGCTGAACCAGCAGTGGTGGTGCGTGGTGGTGCCGCGATTGAAGATAAGGTGGTGATGGTGAAAATGATCAGATTCTAGTAGTGAACTCAGTGATGCCGCCACAGCTGACCCAAGGGAATGTGTGTGAAACATTCACAGTTGGAATTAGATTCATATATAATTAAAAATAATCACCAATTCATCAAATTCTATAACATATTAAATTAAGAGGATTGTCATATTTACTTTGATTATCGTTCAATTTGAGATAATGGTAAATTTAACACGCGATAAAGTATTAAACTTGAGTTGAGGCGCGAATTGAATCGCTTTATTTATGACGGTTCGCGTCTTTAATGATAAAATGTCCAATGTAGTTAATTACAACATATCACCTCTAAGATACAACAATCCAACCACTCACTGTAACTTCTAGAAGTAGAAGCTTCACCCACACACATCTTTCTTTGCCCAATAAATAGAATATAACAAATAGGAAAGAAACATGAGAGTAGTTGTTTTTTCACCCACCAAGAATAGGTTAATTGGACCTCTATATATATAGTTTTATGCAATTTGTAACTCTTATCCAAAATAACTAGCCTATTTACTTGTATAGTAAAAATCACACTTATTTTTGGTCTTAATAGTATAACATAATGTCCACTTAAATCAACCCAAAATATATGACAATAAGGATAGAATATGTAATTTATGGGCAACTAAATTGCACCATTATAATTCTATTATACACATACTAATTGTTAGACTTGTAATTCATGCGGCTTGTAAAGATAAAAATAAATATGTATAATTATGCTAAAATGAAGATACAAATAAAGGTGAGATTATTGATTTATAAATTAGATAAATAATAAACACTCTATTTTTACTTTATTAAAAATACTCCAACATAAATATGTGTGTGGGAGAGAGAAAGATAAAAGAGAAAAAGAGAGAGATAGATAGAGAGAGAAAGATGGATCGCAGGGGGAGTTGCAGATCAAGTTAGGGGGGGGGGGGAAGGGTTGTTAGGGCTTCCAAAAATGACGTCGTTTTAGCAAGAGAGTTTTTTTAAGACTTAAAATAACATCATTTGGGTTTAAAAAATGCAAAATATATATTCTATGATGCAAAATTAATCATTGCAATAAAAAATCTAAAAAACATATTACAGCGCAAATAAAAACATCGCAAATTAATATTTTTATTTTATTTTTAGTTTAATTTTGGTTTATAAAAATAAAATTTATATTCAACGATGAAAATAAAAAGGTCGCAAAAAAACTTTCTAAAAACATTTATTGCGACACAACCAAGAATGTCACCAATTAATATTTTTATTTTATGTTTATTTTAATGCTTGAGTATTTATTTTTGTGACGATTTAGTTCTACGATAAAAAATATTGGTTGAAAAAAATTACCATTTCCCGTCATTTTTCAAGCCAAAAAAGTGGGAGGGAATCTCCATTTCATGACGCACTAGAAAAAACCTCAAAAAAAATATTTTCCAAATAGGTGTTTGTGACAGCATTATAAAAGCGTTGCAGATAGTATAGGTTTTGTGACATTTTTTGATTTGTAGCAAAACAAAATCGCAAAAAATAATTTTTCCTATAGTGAGTGTGAAAACTAAAATTTCTAATTGTGTACAAATATGAGAAATATAATATTTGAGAGGTCAATATCAAAAAAGAGAAATAATTAGGGTGGTGAAAGTATAATTTTACCACAGGTAAATCACACTTGGTGGAAAATAAACAGGCAATGATGGAGGTTATTGAATAGATTGATCCTGTAGCTAATTATAGGAAGCAAATTATACTTCGATACCCCTAACCATAATTATTTTCTTGGATTGTCTCTTCAATTATTATGTTTTTTCGTTACATATTCAACTTTGTTATTAGTTTCACGTTACTCTAATTATTAACTCCCGGTATTATTTTCAAGAAAAATTGTTTCACTTTTCTCCCTTGAACTATGTATTTTATTTGACTTGTCCTTAGACACGGTGATAATTTTTGTCCAAAAGATAACGGATGTATGCATTTGGGGTGGTGGAAAATTAATTAAAGTAGTTGAGAAGCTATGTGAAAAATATAATAGTTCAATGAACAAAATAAAATATAGTTCATAGGTGTCTAAGGGGTCAAAATGTAATTTGCCCAATTATAGTCTTCTTAACTTAATTTACTTGTAGGATATGGTAATTATAAAATGATGATATTTTTAAATTTTTTTATCAAACTACGATATTTTTTAAAAGTTGGGTTGTTGGCTCCATTTTGCATATTAAAAAGTGGGGCTATTAATCCCCCTTTTTTTTAAAAAAAATGTCATACTTTAGCAAATACGTTTAAATATACCATGGTTTTGTAATTTTGTTTCAAAAGTATTTTATTATGTTATTCAATTCGTTATAGTTTTTTTTTTTTGTGTGAATAAGTTTGTTAGGGTATCTTCAATTTTTACTCAAATATTACTTTAAACTTAAATTTGAGTTAAAATAGGCTAATAAAACATTAACCTTCCAAAAAGAAAATTACATTCACGCCCTCTTTGGTGGCAGGAATTGTCATTACCATCACTTTCATTTGCAGATGAAATTGATGAGGGGGTGAAATTTGTAAGTTATTGGACCACTACATACATCATAAATTTCGAGGGATAATACTAAAGAGTGACAATGCAGTAAATGAAAATAACGTGCTTGGACTAATATTGGGGCAGAGTTCCACTACATAGGTCATTTTCCTATCTAATGACAAGTTTATGTGCATCCACTCAGTCTTCACCACAACCATTAATCTCATTTCTTAACCAAACTTTGACCTAAATATAACATAGTTAGAATACTATATATATATATAGTAATCGCTAACCAGACTTGATTCTAATTTTTTATTAACTCTAAAATGCAAGCCCCAAACTGTCCCCAATTTGAAATTTTATATTGATTTTTGAGATTGGGTTCTGGTCTATCAAACAAACTATAAGCATGCAAAAGGAATATTGTTAGAGAAAATGATACTGTTGTAACTGGTTTTCTCACATGCAAGCGTAAGAGAAGGTACATTTTTAGAACGGACAATAGGAAAAACATCGGACACTATATTGTTTCTTTAGTGAAGAACTGGATAGTATGACAAAACAAAATTAAAAGATATTTCCAAACACAAGTGGAGTGAATCTGTTTCCACCAAGCCAGAAAACAGTTGCTCTCAATACAAATGCAAGTAATGAAAAGCCTTTTCCCGTGCCACTGGCAATGAGTTCCCACCAAATGGAAAGGAAAATGAACAACATGACGAGATGTGAATGTAAGCACCTACTGGATTTGTGTGTTTTTTTTGGGAGGGGGAGGGGACTTGAACACTTGATTTAAGAAATTAAAACTTTTACAAGACAAAAAATATCATTGGACTAAAGGTCTGTTAGTCTGCTAGATTTGTTTGAAGATTTTTTCTTCCACTGTTTTCCGGCTAGCAATTGACTCGGTTTTGCTCAGCTAGGACACCACTACATTTGTATATCTACAAGCCTCATCAATCAATTGATAGTTTTAGACTCTAGTTTCTGTCACTTTTGATCGATTATGGCCATATGTATTTACCCTTGCCATTCGTAATATGCCGCATCTTAGTGTTCTGTATAACTAGTATTGGTCAACTTACAGAAGTTTAAATAAATTAAATATAGATTGAAAGTGAAAGTACAAGGCAAACACATCAATACAACGTCATTCAACCCCTAAATATAGATTCAATTAGTATTCACAAACACATCTTTCAAGCTATAAGACATGCATCTACGGACAAAACGTGCACAAAAACTTCATCATTGTAGCTTAATTATGGGCTTGATATACGAAGCACACCCATATATATGGTGGAAAATCATTTAACTATGAATGATTAATATGATAATACAATATATTTAGCTTGAATAAAGTCCACAATTTAAGTAGTAGTAAATCAAATTGACCTATGTCTAACGGTAAAACAATCTATTAAAGGGTGTTTTATTAATAAAAATGGGAAAAACTCAGCATAGACTTAATTAGTGTAAGGCTCGGATTTTGAATCTTATAAGTCTTATAAATAAGGCTGATCCTCAATTATTATTATTTTTATTTTGAGTTGGCCTAGCAATTTTTTTTTTTTTTTTAATTTTGGGTGGCCACAGTTGAGAACAGTGACAACTTTCAAAGAACCGCTTATATATACTGACAAGTTGCTTACATTTTCCAACTTTATTTACCCAAATAACCTTTGAAGCCATGCATTAACTTGCAATGGAATTTATAAAAAACGGTAAGACGATGTTGGCCTTCCCTGTGATAAATTCAAGTTCTGTCTCTGACTGAGACATTACACAATCTATGCTACTTTTAAAAGACTACTAAATCAAAAAATAATTTTTTTGCATAAATACCCTTTAACATTTATATAATGCCAGATTCATCCAATCTTTTTGATCATCCAGCTTCTTAGTGACATTTTGTCCAACAAAGAAAACCACTCTCGGTCACATTAAAAGGCTACTAAATCAAAAAATAAATTTTTTTCCATAAATACCCTCTAACATTTATATAATGTTAGATTCATCCAATCTTTTTGATCAGCTAGCTCCTTAGTGACATTTTGTCCAACAAAGAAAACCACTCTCAGTAGCAATACCCATACCTCAATTATGGGTATTGATACTGATGCTGCACAAATTGGGTCTGTACACAATGTGCACTTTGAATGGATAGGGTCGTCGGGTACTTTATTACTTCAAGTGAGTAAGGAGAGCATAGAGTTACAAGCTGAGAGGGAGAGAAGAGAGTTACGCTCAATAAAGTGTGATCTGCCCCCCAAATGTTGGTGGGCTTACAATTTATAGTCTCCACTTAATAGATTGGAGTGACTTAATAGTAACTAAATAGCTAATTTGATAGAGCTGGCAACCTCTTCTCAATGGATGAGATAGTTACTGTGCTCTCCATAAGATTTGGTCAAAGGATGAGGGGGTGGTTAACTTTTTTCAAGGCGGCATGGATGAGGCTCTTGGGATGACCCTTACCCCAGGGTGGCTTGGATGAGGCTATTGAGATGACCCTTATTCCAAGGTGGCAAGAAAGTGACTCTTGAATGACCCTTACTCCAAGGTAGCTAAGAGGAGACTCTTGAATGACCCTTACTCCAAGGTGGCTAGGAGGAAGCTCTTGGATGACCCTTACTCCAAGGTGGCTAGGAGGAGGCTCTTGGATGACAGTTACTCCAAGGTAGCTAAGAGGAGACTCTTTGATGACCCTTGCATGCTCCCATACTGATGTAGCTCTTCGAACCTGATGAGCTTGACCGATCGTTGACTATTTTGGGCGCTGGATCTTTTGGAGTTGGGCTCTTAATTTAAATTGGGCTTACATCATGGGCTAGGCCCTTGGGCTTGACCCATCATTTTTTCTCCAATGTCCTGTGTCCAATGGAACTCAAAAAGGATGCCATTCGGTTGCATTTGTATTTCGGCTGTACAATTGAAAAAACTTTGGGAGGCCAAAACGTCTATTTCTATGCCTTTTTTAGACTTTCAACAATATCAATCACATCCATAGGCTGTGAGTCTTGTAGAGCTCGTCTAGAGCTTCGATTTAATAAATTATTAGCCCCATTTGGAGTAACGAATCAAAAGTTACAGTCAAAATAGTAAATAGGTAGCTGGGCACGCAGTTTTGGGCAAGCAGGCAGCTGAACCACTGTTCTGGGCGAGCATACAGCTAAGTGCGCAATTTTGGGTGAGCAGGCAGCTGGGCACGTTGTTCTGGGCACCAATCTAAGTGCTAATGCAAGGCTTAGGCTACTTGAGGTAGTTGTTTGCGTGCGGTTATACGCGAGGGAATCAGATTTGGGCAAGCAGGAGGGGCGAACAACTTTGGGCGTCGACCTGGGTGACTTGGGCAAGCAGCCTATCCACGTGGAGGTGGTCATTTTGTGCACCCAAGTTGCGTCGACCTCATTCGAGTGAGCAGACCATGGCGTGCAAACAGTTCTAGGTATTGATTTGGGCGATTAGGCAGCTGAGAGTGCGGTCCTGGGTGCCAATCTGAACGTGCAGGCAACTGGATACGTGGTTCTGGATGGGCACACCTTGGGTCGAGGGTGAGGCGCCTTCTGCGCTGCTTGACGTGGCGATGAAGTGTCACTTTGGGGCTCATGGACGAGCCAAGCATGGAGTGGGTGCTGAGTGGGAAGGCGCCGATGGAGCTGGGCGCTGTTGGAGGGGCGTTCATGGCGCAAGAAGGGCACCCATAGCGCTGGGCACTGTTGGAGAGGCGCCTAAGGTGCTTCTTGTGAAGCAGGACTGAGACTCTAGGCACTCGTCAAGGATTGGTGAATGCTGATATGGTCCTAGGAGACATTCGGCTTGGTTAGGCAAATGTGCAGGCAGTGCCAGATTGATGAGGCCGATTGTTGACATTCAATCTAATACAGTCCCACGAGTTACAGATGGCCTGAGTTTCAAAAACGTGCCTAGAGATGACAAAAATAATGTTATTAAAATATCTAACATGATTACCTAGAGAGAGAGGCAAACTGCTAGCGTGAAAGTAGAGACAAAGTTTAAGGATTGCTCGTGAGAGAATTGCACCATTTGAGATCCAGCTTTTTTGTGACCCGCGAGAAAGCCGTTAAGCTGGAGATATGCTGCCTGCTTGAGAGCAGAGCAGAGCACATGCCAAGCTTTTGGTGACCCATATGAGAGCTGCTAAGTTGGAGATAGGCTGCCTCTTGAGAACAGAGCAGAGACCAAGCTTTTGGGGACCCATGAGAAAGTTGCTAAGTTGGAGATAGGCTGCCTGCTTTATAGCAGAACAGAGGTAGACCATGTTTTTTGCAACCCGTGAGAGAGTCGTTAAGCTGGAGATAGACTGTCTGCTTGAGAGTAGAGCAGAGACAGGCCAAGCTCTTTTGGCGACCTGCGAGAGAACGACTAAGCTGGAGATAGGCTGACTACTTGAGAGTAGAGTAAAGATAGGCCAAGCATTTTAGCGACCCGTGAGAGAACCGCTAAGCTGGAGATAGGCTGTCTGCTTGAGAGCAGAGCAGAGATAGGTCAAACTTTTGGTAATCCGCAAGATGATTCACCTCGCCTTGACTTGTTGATTTTCTCAACATTCATATATTTTTGAACTTTTGCTAATAGTTCTGGCATGTTCTTTGGATGTCGCTTCATTACTGAAAAGAGGAAACTCGATGAGCAGAGGCCTCCTAGAAAGGCGGTCATAGTGACTTTGTCATTAGGCTCCCCGATTTGGAGAACCTCCTCATTAAAACAAGTGAAGTAACTCCTCAAACTCTCATCCGATCCTATTTTATGCTGTGCAGATGGGTGACAGGCTTCTGCTGACGATGTCCACCAATGAACTGTGCCACAAAGGATCTGCTCAGTTCGACAAAGGAGCCTATGGAGGCCGGGATGAGGTTAGTGAACCATTGTCGCGTTGATCCCTTCAAGGTAGTTAGGAATGCCCTACACATAATTTCATCGGAGATGTTGTGCAACTGCATTAAGGCATTGTAGGTTTCGAAATGATCAAGTGGGTCCTTTGTACCGTCGAAAGTTTCTACAGATGACATTCTGAATTTCTGGAAAAGTGGGTAGTTTACCACATCAACTACGAAAGACGTGTCTGTTCATCTTACAAGGTGTCCAAAATCTCAGGTCCTTATGCCGTTATAACGTTGAAGACGCCACCTAGTTGATTTTGCACCTCTTTAATTTTTTCGTCCAAGTGATTGGAAACTCCTCTGGAGTTATCATGGAAATGGCTCTCATGCTCCACACTTTGGTTTCACGTTCTTCCTCTTGGAAAAGAAGGTCTCCACCATGAGAAGAGGGAGCTAGAGGAGGAGGTGGAGGTCCCTCATGGGGAACTCCCCTGTGTGGGTGCCAAAGGGGGCTCCATATTGGGCGCCCGGAGCTCCTTGACGCCTAAGGCGTGGAGCTCCTCTGGTTTGAGGTCCAACAGGTTATGTTCCTCCTTGTCTGGAGAGCATGAGTTGCAGGATCTGTTGATTTTGGGCCATAAGTTGCTGCATGGTCTCCAACATCTGCTGCGCATTTGGAACATGATTGGTTGGTGGAGGAGCAACCTCCTCCTCTCGTGGTGGATTATCCTCGGGTTGATTCATGGATCTAGTGGTGATTGTCATTGGTTCAACAGAGTGAGTGTTTAGAAGTGAGAATTTAGTCGTTCCCACAAAAGACATCAAACTGATGATGCACAAATTGGGTATGTACACGTGCACTTTGAATGACTAGGGTCATCGGGTACTTTATTATTTCAAGTGAGTAGGGAGAGTAGAGAGTTACAATTTAAGAGGGAGATGAAATAGTTATGCTCAACAAAGTGTGACTTGCCCCCCAAGTGTTGGTGGGGTTACAATTTATAGTCGTCTCTTAACAGATTGGGGCCCCCACACTCTTACTTTTATATAGTAAGTAATCATTTCTTTTTGAAATGCTAATATGGTAAAATCCAGGTAAATGTATGGAATCGTTGTAATAGAACTTGTACCAACTATATTCAATGAACAAATTTATGTTGTATAAGTTTGGGTTGATTTTGGAAGGGTTAAAAGTGAATTCGAAATGAAAAACAAGAAAAATGGACAAAACTGCCAAAGGGTATTGGTACGCGTATCGGTATGCCAAAGACCAATAGTCATACCGTACCGGTACGCGAACCGGTACGCCCGACAGATTCTAGAAATTTTTAGTCGCGATCTGGGTCCGATTCCTTCCACTATAAATACATAAAGACGTCTCATTTAGCCCCATTTCAACACCTCAAACCCTAGAAAACCTTAGAGAGGAAGAAAGGAAGAGAAGAATACAAGATAAAAAGGGATTTGAGGCTTGAATTGAATCAAAATCCTAGATTTCTTCAAAAACACCAAGGTCGGGGTTTCTTCATATTCTTTTACATTGAGGCTAGGGTTTACTTATATGTATTCTTTTGACTCTAAATCTTATTTATTTGTTAGTAAATCATTAATTCTTAATATTCTTGCAAACACTATCATGTTTTAAACAAATCTATGGTGGGATAACCACTAAATCTCTTCTTCTTGACTCAAAACCCTACTTTTCAAGAGAAATGAATTTTTCTCTTGATTTTTCTTTTGTTCTTGATTCCAAAACTTTCAGACTTTATATTCAACCACAAAAATGATATTTATGATGATCTCTTGCATTTTCTTCAATTATTCTATGGAAATACAATATGTAAAATTTGGGGATTTTTGAATGTATTTGTGATTGAAGAAATTAATTTGAATATTGTATCTCTTGTGGATGTTTGGATGACTATGGGTGGCCGTTGACCGGATATCGTAGAGTGGGTTAGATGCGTTTCTTACTCTGTGTGGGTTTGAAAGTTCTCTATCACTCGTAATGGGGTTAGTGCCTTGCAAGGACCAAACCACTATTCGCTCACGTGTTATCAAGGCTGATGGTTAGTATACTATTCTTGGGTTGGATTGTCCCTGCCAATACGTTGGTATACGCCCTTCCTAAACATTGAGAATCCTTGCGAGGATTGGGTGTGTGTGTGTGTGGGCCAGGATATTCTCGATGTGTTTATTCATGTGAATCATGCATCATTCCTGAGATAGAGATATATATTATTGATTATTGTTTATCGTGCAAACGGTAGATTGAGATCCATGGTGGTTATATTTTATGGTTAAAATGGCGGTTGTGAAAATGGCTCCTTGTTGAAAATTGGTTTGTTTCCTTATTTAATCTATTGATATTGCTTAAACTTGAGATCGGATGAAATGTCACTGTTTTCTTTCAAAATAGATATATGATATTTGCGACCCTACAAACAACATATTTTTCAGATTATGGATTAGAGGAGGAGCTCGAAGTAGATGAACAAGCACATGGGGAAGCTTCGATAGATGGAAACTTAGATCCCGAGATGGATGCCTAGGATTATATTTACTTTTGTCCTAGATTAGGAAAATTTATTTTGAGACTCAAGAGAGTCTAATATTTTCTTATTCCGCTGCAAGTTAAATTTGATTCTTTTGGATGTAATTGCCATATTTTGGACATATTCTTTTGGGAAGATATTGTAGACACTGCATATGATGAATGAAATTTTCTTATTTGATGGATTTTATTAGTTGCACTCATGATATGAATGGTATTTAGATATTAATGCCGTCCAAGGTGATTTTTGAGGCGTTACAAATTTTGGTATCAGAGCTTAGGCTTTAGGTTTTACATGAGAGCTGTAAGTTATGGATTACCACTAGAGAGATAGGACTAGGTTGAACGAAATTGTGGATTTAAAATTTAATACAAACCTTGTGCTTTAAATTAAAGTGATAGTTAGGATGTTCTGTACATCAATGAAACTAAATTGTGAATTGATGTGCAGGATGGAGGGTGAACGTGAACGTGGACGTGGACGGAGACGTGGTGGCCAAGCAAACCCACCACCACCACCTCCAGATGCCATGAATGGAATCTATTAATGCCTAAGGGAGCTAACCACTCTGGTACAGCGCCAGAATAGAAACAACAACCAGCGACGACAGAACTTCGAAAGGGAAGGTTCGATCAAGACTGGTGCTAGCAGTAGTGGAGTTATACAAAGGGCAAATTTGTACCGCCGACCTAACTAAGCTTCGGGACAAAGGAATCAAGTCGTTTGAGGAGCTGGGGTTACTCGGAATAGAACAAACACTGACCCACGTCAATTCTTCTTATGTGGAAGGTTCGGGCAGATCAAAAATAACTGCCCATTGATTCCACCAAAGACCAAGCAAGCAACGGGAAAAGCACATGCAAATAAGCCACCACGACAGAAGCCAGTACAGTCGAAACCATTAGGAGCTATAGGCCCAAGCGGTACCAAGCAAGAAAGAGTTTTTGCTTTGACCCAACCAGAGGAAGACGTTTCCAATGCAGTGGTTGAAGGTATCGTTCTTCTTTATAATTCTTGGGTTCAAATTTTATTTTATCCCGGTGCTACTCATTCATTCATACGCACTACATATGCTCTTAATTTGAGATTGGACTTTGAGAAGCTTGAACATGCCTTGAGTATTGACATGCCTACGGGAGAACAGCTGGATGCTAGAAGGGTGTGTAGAGATTGTGTGCTTTGAATTGGGGAACAATAATTGATTGTAGACTTGGTTGCATTAGACATGAAAGGAGTTGATTGAAATTTTGGGATGGATATTTTAGTTTATATCATGTTGGTTTGGACTATTCTAGGAGATGAATGGTAATTTAAATTTTGGTTTGTAAATGATGCTAGGCACGGATCTTTGTGCAAGTCAT